AGTATGTTTGTATTGTCTATTATATGAGGTTATATATGCTCTACGTTGTAGGGCGTCATGAATAGGACCTACCAATTTATTATGACTTAAAAGTTTTTTGAACATTTTTTATTATTATTATTATTATTACTAATTATTATTACTAATTAACTACTAATGCAAATACTAATAATAAATAAAGAGTTTAGGGATCAGAATTTAAGGGTGGCGTATATCTAACTACTACTACCACTAATACATAATTACTACGTACGATCTTTTTTTAATTTGATCCCAAAATAATCTGTCGATCACACTTTTCTAAAAATTAAGGAATCTAATATCCGCGCAAAAATTTTTAATCACACGAAATTTTTTAACTGGCAAATTCGAATAAAACGAATCATTCGAATAATATTAATATATGCACTATCTAACCCAATTAAAAAACATTTTCCATTTTTCCCTTTGTAGGCCTTGCAGCGCGATAATAATAACAGTAGCGGCAGAAGTAATTGACATATTTTCTTTTCTTTTCTTTAGTCAATTAATAATAATTGTAGCAATTGGATCTTTTCCCTTGTGTTGAGTAATAATAATAATACGAAACTTCTATATAATAAAAATAATTAGCCAATAAAAGTTTTACCCTTGTAACGCAAATTTTTTCGCAATGGTGTAGCCTAATAAATTACTACAAAAACATGTAAATGGACCCGCTATTTTTCACTTGTGGACCAAAAAATTGTATCTGAATTCAGGGGTTAGAGCACGTAGTGCCAAAATGGTATTCGTGATTTGATTTTTACAATGCCTTCGAATGTTGAGGCACGCATCAGAGCAATTCATTTTCATTATCAAAGTTTTATTTTTTTTATAAATTTCATTGTTTGTATTTTGCATGATAATAATAATAAATAAGATTGTCCAAAAAATTCTAAATTCGTTTTGTCTGTTTAGTATTAGAGTTCAAATTCAACCGGCTTGACAAAAATAAGCCATATTCATTCGTAATACCGAATTACGATCAGACCTTGGTTGAATCACAATAACGATCATATAAAGGGTTTGATACCAATGAAGACACACTAATATCCAAAATATGTTCCTTTGTTTAATTCTGTTGGTTTGATCTTGAAAATATGATTATATGAAGGTTATTGAAAGATTTATAAAGTTAATTTTATTAATATTTATATTTTAATCTTTGAACTTTAATAAACTAATTAAAATTTTTTATCTGAATAATTATATTATACCAATATATACCAGCTGATTTTCCAGAACAACTTTATATAAGACGTGCAATTGTACATTAAAATAAATTAGTTGAATTTTACTCTTCTTGAATTAGTTACCAGTCAATTAACATTTCAGAGCTTTTCTCATAAATGTAGAGGCAGGAAATTGTTAATCAATTCATTTCTGTAACAAACTTTTTTGCAAATTAAATAATAAACAAATTTATTCTTTCGTAGTCGAAAATTAAACAGTGGGGTTTAATTGTTTATTTGGTTACCAGAGTGGTGTTTCTATTTTTAATATAGATTCTTGTTCGAATTAGAGAGTGGAATTCTTGCTGATGGCTCATGCTGGGTGTATTGACCCTTTGTGACTCTCTTGTTAAAACATTTAAAATTCGTTAATTGATTTGATTGGTTACATTTGTAATATATTAATAGATTTTTTAAATTTGAAAGTTATACTCAGAAGTGCAACAATATTTTGCAGGAAATGCGGACAAATTCCACTAGGATTATCCTATCTCACCGATGACGAGATGGAATAGGATAATCCTATGTGGGTTATATATGAGAAATGTAGTAATAAAAACAAATAATAAATATATATTTTTCAGGTTCAATGGTGACCAACAAATCACCAACAAATAATAATGACCTCAAAACTTATTCTTAAAATCAACAGTGCCTTAAAATTGCCAATATGTTTATCAAAGATCAGTGATGACCTGGAATTACATTTTAAAGGTCAACCATGATCCTGAAACTGCCAAAAAATTTTAAAGGTCAATAATGTCCTTGAAACTCTATATTAATATGTTTTCAAATCAATTATGACCCTGAAATCCTCTATATTAATATTAACATTAATGTTTTCAAGATAAATTGTGGCACTGAAATATTTTAAAGGTCAAATGTGATCCTGAAATTCACTATAGATTTTAAAGGTCAAAAGTGACTCTGAAATTCACTATGTTTTCAAGTTCAATTGTGATCTTGAAATTCTCTACATGTTTTGAAGGTCAATTGTCTATACATTTAAAGGTCAAATGTGATACTGAAATTCTCTATATGTTTTAAAGGTCAAAGATGACTCTGAAATTCACTATGTTTTCAAGTTCAATTGTGATCCCGAAATTATCTATATGTTTTCAAGGTCAAATGTGACTCTGAAATTCACTATGTTTTCAAGTTCAATTTTGACCCCGAAATTATCTATATGTTTTCAAGGTCAAATGTGACCCTGAAATCCTCTATGTGTTCAAGTTCAATTGTGATCCTGAAATTCGCTGTGTTTTCAAGGTCAAATGCGAGCCTGAAATTCTCTATGTGTTTTAAAGTCAATTGTGATCCTGAAATTCTCTACACATTTTAAAGATCAATTATGATCCTGAAATTCTGTATATGTTTTAAAGGTCAAAGGTGACTCTGAAATTCACTATGTTTTCAAGTTCAATTATGATCTTGAAATTCTCTACATGTTTTGAAGGTCGATTGTCTATACATTTAAAGGTCAAATATGACACTGAAATTCACTGTGTTTTCAAGTTCAATTGTGGCCCCGAAATTATCTATATGTTTTCAAGGTCAAATGTGACACTGAAATTCACTGTGTTTTCAAGGCCAAATGCAAGCCTGAAATTCTCTACACATTTTAAAGGTCAATTGTGATCCTGAAATTCTACACATTTTAAAGATCAATTGTGATCCTGAAATTCACTATGTTTTCAAGTTCAATTGTGACCCTGAAATCCTCTATGTGTTCAAGTTCAATTGTGATCCTGAAATTCACTGTGTTTTCAAGGTCAAATGTGAACTTGAGATTATCTATATGTTTTCAAGGTCAAATGTGACCTGAAATCCTCTATGGGTTCAAGCTCAGTTGTGATCCTGAAATCCTCTGCATTTTAAAGGTCAGATGTGGTCCTGAAATTCTCTGCACATTTTAAAGGTCAATTGTGATCCCGAAATTCTCTGTTTTCAAGTTCAAAAATTTTCTATATGTTTTCAAGATCAAATGTGACCCTGAAATTCTCTGCATTTTAAAGGTCAATTGTGTTCCTGAAATTCTCTAGAAATTTTTATGTTTTAAGGTCAATCATGATCTTGAAATTCCATATATGTTTTAAAGGTCAATAATGAACACAGAAATGGTTATACAAATCCTCAAATTTAAAAATAATTAATGTTTTCAGCAATGCTTTAAATTTATTAATATAAATTCTTACAAATTACATAAAAATAAAATCTATTCCCTTATAACAATCTTGGGAATAATTCGCAAAAAAAAATCACAAACTTTATATTTTCCTATGATAAAGATTGTATTGAATGTTGGAAGAAAAAATTAAATTTCCTTGAAGATCATGTGTCACAAGTGATGTATAGCTAATAAACAAAAAAAACCCCCCGCATTATTTTATTATTATTAAAAAGCTGGCTCCATTCTCAGTAAATTATAAATCACGGGAAACTGATATATAAATCGGAGATGATTCACGAAGTTACACTCAAATAAAATCGGAAAAACCGATCAAGTGATCAATTTATTCGAACACCAATAAAATAAATAATTGACACACGGAAATATTGGAAATATAAATATTCCAACATTCTAAAATGTAACGGATTACAAAGTCTCAGAATAATATTTAAACGAAAGAATTTTATATGACTCATGTTGACTAGAAATTACTTGAAAATAATTCTACATGGAAGGTTTAAATAATGATTAAAGAATACATTAATTAGTATAATTTAGGATTTTAAAGAAATCGGAGTACTAGATGATAGAACCTCTAAAATGTATAAATACGTTGTAAATTTCTCTTTCATGTAATCTTTAGTTTTATTAGTTTTTAATTAACTCGAAGTTTTTTAGTAAACTCAAATATTATAATAAATAATTATTTCGTCGACAATCATTTCGTCGACACCCATTTCGTCGAAAATTATTTCATCCTCAAGCCAGTGACCGAACGAGTTAGATGTAAGGAGTGTGGGAAGTTAGTTAAGAAATTAAGTGAAGAAAGCGGGGTGTGTGGGAAGTGTGAGGAGAAATTTGTTTAATGAAGTTTTTTTTTTGTGACGAAATAATTTTCGACGAAATGAACATTCGACGAAACAAATTTTGACGAAATGAACATTCGACGAAATGACCATTCGACGAGATGAACATTCGATGAAATGAATGTCGACGAAATGACTGTCGACGAAATGAATCAGACCCCGAACTTCCTTTTTCTTAAAATTTAATAAAAAAAAAAATCGCATCAAAAAAAGATCCAAAAAAAAGAAACAATAGTAAAAAGACAAGGAATGATGGGTAAGTGTTTTAAGGATGGTGGTGGCGGTTGTCATCACTCTAGTTATTTAAAAAGAATGGTTTATGTAAATTAAAACCTTAACCTTGATATTTGTTTCTTAGTGGACCATTAAATGAAAAAAAATACTCAAAAAATAATAAATCAACTTCCAATTGGTAGGTCCTATTCATGACGCCCTACAACGTAGAGCATATATAACCTCATATAATAGACAATACAAACATACTGACTGTGTATTTGAACATTTAACTAAAAATTCCTTCCCAGGAAAATTTCAAGATGTAAAAAAAGATATAGTACCAGTAGACCGAACAAAATCCAGATTTCAAGAGGATGTAACTATACCTGAGAAATTTAGAGCAAAATTAGTTAGTTATTTTAAATCAGGGTATAAAATTTGCCGATCAATTTTTGTGCATGCTGTACAAAATTTTTTGAGGAATTGTGCAATGTATGCACAAAAAATTGTAAGTAGTTTAGTTTTTTTGATTGTTTTGTGCATTATACATAGAAAAATGTAATAATGCAAAAAATTTCTCATTGAATTTGTGTACTATATTTAAAATTTTTGTTTAGAGTCTGCACAAAAATATTTATCTCATTGTGCACAGTTTAAGGGGTTGTGCACATGAATTTTATACACTGTGATAGAGGATTTCAGGGTCATAATTGATTTGAAAACATATTAATATAGAGTTTCAAGGACATTATTGACCTTTAAAAT